CGTTGTTGGTTTTCAACTCTTGGAACCTATGTGAGAACTCGTGTATGACTCCTCGTGGCGACTCGAGCACAATGCCGGCTCCCGCTCCACTCTTCCCGGCGGCTCCATCCACGAACAACCGCCACGTTTCGCTCTGCCCCTCCTCCGTCGAGGAGTCGAGGCTAAATCCTTCCGCCACGAAGTCTGCGAGGACCTGGCCTTTGATGGAGGGACGCGGAGCATACGAGATGTCGTGCTCACTTAATTCAACCGCCCATTTGGTCATCCGTCCGGAGGCGTCAAGACTTCGAAGTATCCTCTTTAGCGGCAGGTTGGTGAGGACCGTGATGGGGTGCCCCTGGAAGTAGGGACGCAGCTTCCTTGCTGCCGAAACGATGGCCAAGACCGCCCGCTCGATGGGCATGTAGCGCCTTTCTGCCGGAAGAAGGGCCTTGCTGACATAATATATGGGATGGTCCGTGCCATCGGCATCTCTCCTTACCAGGGCCGAGCTGACCGCCTGGTCGGAGACCGCCAGATACAGATATAAGGGTTCTGCTTGGATGGGAGCGCTTAAGACAGGCGGAGTGGCAAGCTGCTCTGTCAGCTGGAAGAAAGCCTTGTCACACTCGGGACCCCACTGTGACCGCGAGGCGGACTTCTTCAACATTTGGAAGAACGGGGAGCACTTGTCGGTTGCTCGGGGGATGAAGCGGCTCAGGGCGGCCATTTTTCCGTTGAATGCTTGGATTTCCTTCACCGTGCGTGCGGTTTCAGGTTGAGTATTGCCTCAATCTGTTTGGGATTAGCCTCTATCCCTCTGTGGGTGATCATGAAGCCTAGGAATTTTCCCGCCTTGGCTCCAAACACGCACTTCAGCGGGTTAAGCCGGAGGTGCTCTTTCCTGAGCGTCTCAAACGTCTCCCTCAAGTCGGCCAAGTGGTCCGAGCCTTTTTTGCTTTTGACCAGGACGTCGTCAACATAGGCTTCCACATTCCTGCCGAGTTGCTTGTGGAAGACCGCGTCTATCATCCTTTGATACGTTGCCCCTGCGTTCTTCAGGCCGAAGGGCATGACCGCGTAGCAAAAGTTCCCCATGTGAGTCATGAAGGCTGTTTTTTCTTGGTCTTCCTCCGACAGGCGTATCTGATGGTAGCCGGAGAACATGTCGAGAAAGATCAAGGTTTCGTGATTGGCGGTCGCGTCGATCAGCTGATCGATTCTGGGGAGGGGGTATGCATCCTTTGGGCAGGCTGCGTTGAGGCTAGTAAAGTCGATGCACATCCGCCATAGTCCCGACGCCTTGCGCACGAAGACGGGGTTAGCTAGCCACGTTGGGTACTTGACCTCCCTGATGAAGCCCGCTTTTAGCAGACGCTTGACCTCCTCTTCCAAGGCCATTTGCTTTTCAAGCGACGCGTTCCTCCTTCTTTGTTGCACGGGGCGCGCCTTGCTTTTTACGGACAGAGTGTGTTCCGCAAGCTCCCTCGGGACGCCAGACATATCTTCTGACGTCCATGCGAACAGATCCTTAAACTCCCGCAGGAGTGACAGGAGCTCGCGCGCCTGTTCCTCTGCCAGGTGGGCAGCGATTCTGACCTTCTTCTCTGGCTCTTCATCGTCCAAGACGACCGCTACGTCTTCTTCGGCCGCCTCCGGACGGGGGTGGTTTCCCCGCGAATCAACTTGGTCGACCTCCAGGTTTCGGATAGTGGCTTGGTAGCATTCCTTTGCATGTTGGGAGTTGCCCAGGACGCGCCCTACCTTGCCCCGAGTGAGGAACTTGAGCATTTGGTGGCAAGTCGAGGGAACCGCGGAAAAGGTTGACAGAAAACCGCGTCCCATAATGGCGTTGTATGCAGATGGGCAGTCCGCTACATGGAAGTCCATGAGGCGGGTCTTGGTCGCCCTTGGTTCCCCAATAGTCACCTGGAGGGTGATGGAGCCAAGGACTCTGACTTTAGAGCCAGAGAACCCCACCAGACTGGTTGTGGACGGCTTGAGGTCTTGTATTCCCTTCTTCATACTTTTGAGGGTGGAGTAGAACAGAATATCCGCTGAACTTCCATTGTCGATCAGGGCTCTGGTGACTTTGAACTTCTTCGTTCTGAAGGATATGACCAAGGGGTCATCTCCACAGTCCTCGGGTGCCAGCTCTGAGGGAGCGAAGCCGATCTCCACCTGCTCGCTCTTGTGTACGCTCATGCACTGCACCAGGCGGTCCCCCTCGGTTCGAGGACGTTTACGCCCTCCTGCGATGGTGATAATCTCAACGCCATCCTCTTCCTCCCGCGCGTGATGGCGGGGCGGGGGAGCGTGCCTAGGTGGGGTAGGCAAGCGTTCCCGACGGGGCGTTCGCTCCCTCCTTGGCGACCTGGATCTCCGACGTCTGGGCGTCCGAGATCTCCTCCTCGGGCTTTGAGAGCCTTCTCTTTCTCCTGGCCTCTCTCGGGGATGCGCCCGTGTGTCCAGGCGGCTTCTCAAATCCCTCGGGGCCAGGTACTTGAGGCTGGCTCTGAACTCACGACACTCCGCGGTGTCGTGAGTCGGCAGCTGGTGCCAGTCGCACCATTTCTGGTCGTCCTCTCTCTTTTGACGAGGGCGCGTCTCTCTAGCTTTCCCTTCTTCTCGGCGTCCTTCCTCTTCTTTCTCTGAGGCGAACACCTCGCGCCTTCCGTCCCTGTTGTTGAATCTGGGCTTGTAGCCGCGCCTCTCGGGCGTGCGCCCCCTCCGCCTTGGCGATCCATTCCTTCCTTTCTCGGCTTTGCTTGAGGAGGGCGGCGTCCCTTTTAGGACCTCTTTGGCACCCAGGGCCTCTTCTAAGAGAATGACCTTTCGTACTACGCGGTCCAAGTCTTGCCACGACTTGATGTTGTGTTCCTTTTTTATGAGGGCTCTCTTCAACTCCCGGCTGTGCGTTGACATTCTTAAGTTTCCCGTCGCCACGCTGGTCGAAACATCCTGGATCTCACATGCTATCGTGTTCCATCTATCGTAGAAGTCCGCCAGCGTCTCCTCTTCCGCTTGCTTGCAGTTGATGAGTGCCGAGACCGTGAGCTGTCTCCTTCGCTGGGACGCGAACTTGAGCGAGAAGAGGGTGGCGAACTGTTCAAAGTTCTCTATTATCCCCGCTGGTAGCGACGCGTACCAGCTTCTACACTGGCCGCCAAACGTGACCGGGAACGCCTTGCACAGGTCTGCATCCGAGGCGTTGATCAGCTGCATCTTGAGCATGAATGCACTCAAGTGATCCGACGGGTCGGAGTTGCCGGTGTAAGCGGGCAGACCGAGCGATGAGAAGTTTGATGGCACCTGAGTCTTGAACAGACTTTTCGCCAGGGGGTTGTGCAACACGTTGTATCCCTTGGACTTCCCATAGCAGGGCCGCAGATGTTCTTCGAGGAGGTCGAGGTGGGTGCCCTCTTCGCTCTCCTCGCCTTCAGACCTCCCATCTTCTGTCTGGGACGGGCTAGGTGGAGCCTCCTCTTCCACTCCTTTACCCTTTTCGTCGCGCTTCCTTGAGCTCTCTGGCTCCTCTCGGGTTTTGAGCATAGCGAGGATCTGACTCAGACTCTCCTGCATACTGGTGATCTGTTGCCCTTGGTCTTTCACGCGTTCTTCCATATCCTTTTCTTCTTCGACGGTCGGCATCTCCAAGCCTCTGATGCTTTCTCCGCCAACCACATCTTTCACTGGAGTTCTGAAGTTCCCCTCCATCCTTTCTTCAGTGCTTCGCTCTAGCCCCACGGTGGGCGCCAAATTGTTTGTGCCTAGTAGATACTAGGCGGTTTGTGAAGCTGGAGCGAGGCGCCTGTTCTTGGACTGAGGGGGGCGCTCCGGATACTCTGCAAAACAAGGGTCCAGGGCGGTCGCCCGGGACACTCTCCGAAGCTTAAGTTAGAGAGAGAATGGGGGAGAAGAGAGATTTATGTAGAGAGATGAGTAGTAGTTGAGTTTACCATAAATGAGCTTACTCTGTATTTATACCTGGTTCGAAGGTAGTTGGGACATTAAATGCTATGTCGGGCGCCCTGGGCTGTGGCAGGCGCCCCGATCAGGCTTTTTACCTTTCTGCAGGCCGCCTGAGGTCTGCAATAAATGCTCAGTCTTGCCTGACACCGGATACGCATCTTCAACGGCTCCCTGCTCCTCTGCGTTGCCCAGTCGCTTTATGTCAGACATCCTTATCCGTTTTTCGGGTTTGCGGCCGGTCAAGGACCGCCCGCTGACCCGGTCTTCTGATCGGGCCTGGCCTTTCCTATTGGGCCTTAACTACGGATGCACCCTTCTTGGGCCAGAAGCCCAATTGCGCTCAACTACGCGGCCCAACACTATGAAACCTGAACAACCATCAAAAGTACTTGACATATGCAATCTAGGTATAGAGATGGGTGATCTATGATGGTCTTTCGAATTGGGATCGGAAACGAAGCTTATAGGAGGCATAAACTCTTGCAGGAGAGAGGAGACACAAGGTAGTCCTTCTAAAGCAATATCAAATAGGCATGGGGAAAGGAAGGATGTCGCCTACATATGTCCTTCCTAGTGCGGAAGTAGCCACATACTTCTTAGCATAAGGGTACGCAGATCTCGCTGTACTGAACGAACAACTAGAAAAAAGCTCATAGTCAGAAGCATCTTAAGAAGATAGCTCCAATGTAGTGAGTTAAAACTGAAAAGTGTTCATTGAGTCAAATTTTACTACTAAAGTGAGGAGACCTCCTTCCTTACAGTTACAGATACAGAGAAGATACGACTTAAGAGATAGCTTTCACTTCACTAGGCTCTCAAAGAAAGAGAGGGGTTGTGAGAAAACTTGTCCATTTGACCAATTCCCTACCATGGCTAGAAGCCCATGATAAACCCATAAAGCTACATGCGCATCTGCAGCCTGCAATAATAATCTGCTGCTTTCTCAAGCAGTTTGTACAATACTCCACCCGATGGGCTTCCTTGAAATGGATTTCTTACCTAGTAGTAGTAGGCTAGTAAGCAGTACCAAACCCCAGATACCATTGGGCCTTTGGCCTGCCAGCGTCCCAGTTCCGCGTCTCTCTTTCTCGTGCTTCCCCCTTCTTCTCCCACTCTTTCACTGGTCTTCTTGTTCGTCCAGAAACGAAGGGAATTGCGAATTGCGAAAGCATTTTCGAACAAAATACATTTCTAATCAGAACGCAAAGCCAATTTGCGGACAATGGGTGCAGCTCTCCTCGAGCTCGAGCAAGTCCTCAGATCCCAAAAGGTACTTCCCTCCACCCCTGAAGCTTTTCGCGATCCAAAAGAATAATGGGTTTGCTCTAGTTGAAGCTGAAATTTCGTTTTAATCGCCCAGTAATCATGATCATGTGAGACAAAATTTCCGGAGTTTTCTTGTGTTCCGGAAGCGATTGGTAGGAATGGAGTTGCTGATACGTTTCTGATGTAATCTTGTAGCTGAATTGAGTGTGAATTGGAAAGGGTCATGCCTGAATTTTTTCCTCGAAAGCCGGATAGCAATCCTGATTACCTATAAAGTTTCAATCTTTTTGGGGGATTTTGGCCCATTTTTTTACCGGAACCGGGCCTTGCTGATGAATTCAATTTAACTGTGTTGTTTTCAACTCTTTAGGAGTACTTGACTGCACCAGAAGCACAATTACTCCAAGTGTGCAAGAGCAGTGCTATTAGGGCATTCACCTTTGGTGCATTTCTTGGAGGTTCTACTGCCTGGGCAGGTTTGTTTTCCCCCCTTTTCTCTGGTACCTGTCTCTGAGGTGGTAGAATGATGCCAATGGAAACTCGTGAGCATAGTGATAATGTCATGAAATCATTGGCACCCATTAGTCCAGCTGACATTTGATTACTGTCGTCTGTGAATTTCCAATTATGCGCTGTGCTCTTGCCATAATGTTTGCATTAGCAGGAAACGGGAATATGGTTTTAAGTTTTTTTTTTTTATGAATGAATATGGTTTTAAGTTGGTATTGCTCTACCCATCGTTGTTGATTTTTCCATCTCTTTCGTCTTAAGATGGGAGATGTTTACTCTGTTACTATTTTAAAGTCAAATGTCCTGCTTCAATACCCTTTTCTGATACTTCATAGCATTCTGGCAGTGACTTGGAGGCTGAGTAGGGTGTTACGTGTAAACATCTCCGGTGGTAATCATTCAGCACTATCTTGCAATCTATGCATAAAACCAAACATTCCTCTTTTCGTCTAATCATCATCAATGTGTTTGACCCTTAAATAGGAGCTGCTGCTTTCCTGGGATTTTGGAGATTTGGCCATTCCCTAGAGTCATGTGTTGATCATATTCTTTCAAAGGATGGGAGTCGGTTACAGAGAGAGTTGGCAAATCTGTAAGTCAATGCAATGAGTTATAGTTCTGTAGGGAGACAAACATCTTTGTTATGATTGTATTGTCATGGTTTCTTAGTTATACAGGATCTTGAATTGTTTTAAAATTTTATTTCCCCGCCAATTGACAGAATGGTGAAGAATCACTCTCATATTCCCTGGGCCAAGCAGCTTCTATGCAAACGATTCTACATGGAGACTGTTTATAATGACACAGGGTCGGGCGAAGCCATGCTGAGGTGGCGTCACAGGAATTACTCTGGCGACAGTGAACAAAAGACAGGCAACAGTGATCACCACAAGGATTCTGAGGACAGAAATGCGAATGACCAAGATCACCACAATCATTCGTTGAAGGAAACAGATACTATTAAGAAGGTTGATAATTCGAAGCCAAAGCAAGTTACTGTTACTCCAACAACTGTAAGTTCCTTCGATCAACATAGATTGTTTTGTATCTTTGGGTTTTACGGAGCTCCTAACAAGCTTTTCACCTCATTTCAAATGAACTTGGAGTCTCAGCAAGCTCATATAGCAGAAGACCCTATCAGTAGCATTTTTGGTGGCGTAGCACCACCAGTGGAGGAGATCCATCACCCGGCTACTCCTCCAGGCAGTGGACCTAGAGCAACCCACCGTAGTCACAGACAATCTCACCGCCGTAATAGGCGTAGAATGCGCCTTCATCGAGAATCTACCTTGTGACTTGGAGAGTATGTAGTAACATACATCACTGTCCAGCATCATGATCATCATCGTGTCAGGAGATGCTACTGCACATCCTTGAAGCAGTTCGCTGGCAATGAAAGGACACATAAATAATGTCCCGTAGTGACTTTCTTTTGAGGATGGAGGTCCCCTCTTGTGGGCAAAACCATATTTGTGCAATGTATATGACTATATGGATGACCAAATCAGGACCGTGAAACAGTTTTCCTGACTGATATGGGGAATCTTTGTTTTCACTTTTCTTTTTCTCCAAATAAGTGTCAGCAGTTCATAGTGTAAAGCGTTTTTATTATTGATTTCCCATTTTTCACTTTTCTTCTGGTTTTGGTCTTTTCGTAGGTGAATCATATATGGTTCTTCTATCTACATATGATCAGCTATCAATTTCAGTTGTTTGAGCAGTTTCCAATCGTTCTGACGACTTCATTTTTTGATGAGACTCCATCACTCAAGTACACCTACTTCACCTGTTTGTGTGTTCACTGCATGCAAGCAAATCTGGAAATGGCAACAACAGCTTGATTTCTTGCTGCAACCGCTGCTAGCTCCACGCAGCAAGTTGCTGAACAAACAAGTGCAACCCGCAACTGTTTAGTTGGGGCGCCGCTGGTTATGCATGCATATTTCCCATTTCATAACCTGTTTTTCATTGGCGACTAATGGTTCTATATCAATGGAGGAAGAAGCTGATATAGCAATGAACAGGACAAGGAGGAAGAGTAACATCAATGGCATTGGCAGCCGAAATTACCCACAACACGGTTCTTTTTCGTCCCAAGGGGAAGGATCCATGACCATGAATCAATGCACGTTATACGTACAGAGGTGGAATGATCGATGTTGCTCATCATCAGGTCCTGTCCAGGAAACTCCCTGGAACCTTCATCGTTTTGTCACGACTTCATAATTCATAATGAATGCAGGGCAGGCTGCTGTTTTAACATTAACAGTGAAATAAGAAAGAAGACAACAGTACTGCTGCATTAAACGAGTGGATTATGAACAGGAAGAAACCCATACTTTGTTCGGACACTTTGTTTAATTTACTGGGATTAGTACTTTGACTTTATCTTGATGTGAAAGTAGTTAGACCATCTCGCAAAGTGTCAAAATTTTGGGTTAAATTCAACTTTCTAACTCTCATCGAAATGGTTTTTGCTCTAATGAAAAGAACCGAAGTGCGAAATTCTCCGATTTTAATTTTTTGTTCTAATCTACAAAGAGACAGATCCCACATTAATTGTAATAAACAAGAGTGAAGTAATCATACTTGTATTAACTCAAGTAAGGAAATAGATATTAGAAAATGTTTTAGTTCAACTAGTGTGCAAATTTTGTGGCCATTATTCCCTATAGGTCGTATAACGAAATAATATGAGTTTCCTATTCGGTCAATTCATTTGATTGGATGGAGAATTTGTTGTGTCGATCCTTGGATGGCTCTTTCGTTCATCTCTTCGTCACATAACAAATGAAATGAAAGCAACCTTTGTAGAGTGAACAAAGTAAAGTAAGATTCCATGTCTGGCCTCTCTATTTTGATTTTTGAATACTATTTTACAAATGAGACATATCAAACCAATTCAATTCCATCACATGCTTTTATTTTGGTTTATAAGATTTTAGTATGAGCTATTTTCTATATTGAACCGTTTGTCCCGCTAGATCTAAAGTTTTTGAACATTAATCATGTAAATGTTGTTTATTTTTTTCATTTTCACCAATTGCTATTCACGTAGAAGACAAAATTCAATGCATAAATGATTTTATTAGTTTATTGCGTCCTTGATCCGTTTCTAGTCTACCGTATAAGTTTCATCCAAACATATTAGCAATGAGGTAATCTCAACCTCGTGCTCCAAAATGATAGATACATTGTCAAAATTGAAAGATATTTGTGATTAATAGTATGATGATTAATAAAGAGGCAAAATATAAATTGATTACGTATAAAGATATTTAGTTATCCGTACAACACATGCTTATTAATAAGTTTATCTTAATTAGTTTGATTAATACGGTTGGGATTGTCATGACGTTCAAACAACCAAGTAAAATAAAAAAAAATTAAAATAATACTGGAGGTTTATATCGAAAAAGATAGTGATTACTTTGTACTAAAATCGTAATTTAATTGTAGTTCAACCGTGAAATATCGTTAAATCATCTACCTTTTAAAGTACAATATCGGATATTTTAGATCCGATTTACGGTTTCTTAAACATTAGTGAAAACCTTCCAAGTTTCCAACAGTCACACATCGGATTTAATCAAAGACAACATAGGATAAACAATGCACATAAATATCAATGGACCCATATTTTTCCTGGAGCAAAACAAAGAAGATAGGGGACAAATTGAAAGGTGGCATCGGCCGTAAATTAGACGAAGAAAAGAGGGTAACAACCAAGGTTGTCAAACCGGTTTATACCGTTATGTCGGTTTGGCAAGTATAATGGTACAACCGGTGGTATAATCAGTTTGTGCCGGTTCATGCCGGTTTAAAAAAATGTGAAAACAATTAATATCCAATATATTTAATCATATATAAAACATATTTGTGAACAATTTAGTTACAATCCAACAAATATCATCAACTTTTAACTATTACATTCATAAAATGAATAATAAATTGATTTTTTTATTCATTAAATTCATTAAAATGATGTCATTAAACTTAGAATGTGTAATTCGATCATACCGGTCATACCGGTGGTATCATACCGATTTCATGACCGGTACAGGTTGAACCAGGTTCAACCTCGCCACCGGCATGACAACCATGGTAACAACTAATAAGTAACCGAAGCACAATCTCCTTCTCTTAATCCGTCAATTTGTGATTCCTTCTCGTCCTCTCCCATTCTATTTCAGTCGAGAGAAAAAGAAAATAATAAAGAGGATTGAGAACGAACCGTGAAGGGCTGAAGCGCCAGACTCAATCTCTCTTCTATACCTGTGTTCTTCTATGGACAGCAAGCTTTTCTTTTCCTAATCATAAATCACCGAACCCATCTCCCACCCCCATGCCCGTATAAACCCCCCTTCTTCCATAAATTTCCATTGCCCATCTCTCCAATCTTTCTCCTATCGCTAAGCTTTTGCTTCGCCGGTAGGTTTTTTCATTCCCTCGTTCCCTTCCTTCCCACCCTCAATTTTATGTTCCTCAATTCGACCTTCTCACTGCAAAACTGCAATCTTCTGGCGATTTCGGTTCGGACCCATCGCCAGATTTCCCAATCTCACATCGGGAGAGCGTCGCTCCTCGTATTTCTGCTGGTTATCGTCGCTGCTGCCGGAGACGGCAATAATTGCAGTGACCCGAGAGGCCCAGGAGAGCAGAACCCAGAAGGCGGTGCAAGCGGTGGAAGCATCATGAAGGTTCATCCTATGCCCAATAGGAGGAACAACATAACAATCCGGTATTATGTAAACCACGGCGGCGGCGGGAATAATCAGAGAGGAGGCGGGGGAGTAGGAGGAGAGCTAGCCACCGCCGCTGCTGCTGGCGGTAACAAGAGGCTAAGGAGGCTGCCCCACATTTTCAATCGGGTCCTGGAGCTGCCGTTCCGGTCGGACGCTGAAGTGTTGGTGGAGGAAAGCACCGATTGCTTCCGATTCGTGGCGGAGGCGGACGATGTCGGGGAAGTTAGGGCTCACACCATTGAAATCTATCCCGGGGTAACGAAAATCGTGATTCGGCCCAATGGGTACCTGGAATTGCCGACGTTGGATGATTTGGAGTTGGACATGTGGAGGTTCCGGCTGCCGGAATCGACCCGACCCGATCTAGCCAGCGCGGTTTTCACGGACGGCGAGCTGATCGTGACGGTGCCCAAGGCGGAGGAAGAAGGTAATAATAATGGCAGCAGGGACTTTAGAGGAGGTATGGGAAACAATAATAACAATGCTAGGCTTGTGCTTGTACAGTGAATGAATGGAATGGAATTTGCTAAGATAAAAAAAAAGGTTCCCTCTTTGCCTTTGCTCTTCCCTTGTTTTCTTCTTTTTTGGGTTAATGCTTCCATTTGAATCACTGTTGTCAACAGATCCCAAGTTTTAGCCCTTGGAGGTGTTCTTCTGTGGTTGAGATACTAGACTTTGTAATGCTTAGCTTTTTTACCATATTGAATGAACCAAGTAAAAGGTTTCATTCCACCTTCTGTTCTCGAAATGTGGTTGGTTGAGCAAATGGCATTGAAGATGGGGAATGGTGTTTGCTTGTTTCGTGGTGTGTCTCCGGTTGTTCTGGTGAAGAGTCTCATGCTCACATTCGTTGGTAGAGACATAAGGCATGGTTAGGTTGTGCATTCGTTTGTTTAAACTGGGAATCTAGAGAGCATGTCATGTCTGCTTGCTTTGTTGCTGGAAAAAATGCTTTACTCTTTCGTGGTGACTACGAATATATTCTCAGGCACTATCTGTATCTTTTGCTAAGCCTGCCTATTCTAGGACCCTGAGCCTTGTAGTTGTCTTGTAGTTTGGCATTAAAGACCCTCGAGCGGGTAGCATATGAATCTTAAGGGAAGAATAAGATCAAAGCATTGTTATTGACCAAGCTTTTTCTGATCCACTTGTGCTTGAGTGAGTGTTCACCAACTTTTCTCTTTGGGAGCTCTTTTTGTTCTGCCCGTTTTTTCATTATGGGCACTTTTTTGTAGTGATCTATGACCTGCTTTTCTTTCCCATCTTATCATTAGTGACCTAATCATGCATACTAAAAACCATGATCTCATTTGATCATATGAAACTGAATGAAGCAATCCACCCCGCCATAGTGGATATATGATGCCCTCAACCTTGAATCCATTCTTAGAATCTTAAAGTTCCGTACTCCATGTCTAGTGACTAGCATGCTGATGGGGAAGAATTTACTTACCAGTTCAGTGCACCCAAATGATAGAGGCACAGTTTTTTTTCCTTTCCTAAAACAGTTGTTCATGTTGTTGCGCTATATGATCCATGGTTATCTAAATCAAATATTATGATGTTGTGTTCCATTGAACAATAGCTGCTGCTGCTGCTGCTGCATCCTACTTCATTTTTGAGAGAACTGTAGTTTCTGTCTTTGCTTCAGGATTAGGCGCGTTATCCAGTAGATTTCTGCATTGATTGAGGTAATGGTTTATGGGTTGTGGAATTCTGCGTCATCCGCAGTAGAATTCTGCATTGATTGAGCTAGGAGATATGAATGGAGCGTGGCAGAGTGAGGTGTGAAAGTTTAGCAGTATGTATATGTGTATATTTGAGATAAGGGCTGGAGATTGAATGAAGAATAGAATAGATGCTCGCCCAAAGCAGTCGTCGTGTACCGAGAGAATGAGACATCCTCTCAGTAGTCAGCATCGTGCAGAAGAAAGTGATTCCTTACTGTATGGCGTTTGCACTGCAAATTGTTTTCCGTGTAGCCGACTTCATATGCCGTGTAAGTGTTTTCCGTGGTCCTCTTTCGGATTACTGAAAAGGGGCAACCTTTTCCGGGAATCCACAGCTGCTTCACAACACCAACGTTGGCCCTAATTCTGGTCTGTCCCAGTCTGGAATTCAGACCTGAGTCCTGACAGTGGCAATCTTTTTGGATGGTGGTGATTTGGGAGTAATCATGTCGAAATTGAGTTCTTACTTCGAAACAGATGGTACTCCTTTGCGTCACTCTCTCTTGATTCCATTTTGAGAAGTTGGGTTTGATCATTTTAAGCCAGGGAAAAGGACAAATTCCAAAAATAAAAGCCCATTTTTTAATCTTTGGTAATTTGACTCAAGGATTCGTTAAGTTTCTTCGTGGAATTTGGAGCATATCGCATTCAAAGAAACAAGTTTCGTGATAATCTCATGCTTCATCGTACAGTCGTTTAATGTGGTTTTCTCTTTGACAACTAGGTTGGAGGAACGAGGATAGTAATATAAAATTTTCTTTGATTGAGATTAACGATTAGTATTACAACTCAAAGCCAACTGCAATAACAGTAAGTAATGAAAAACCCTAATAATTCAATAGAAAACCATTATGATAAACCTAATAATCACTTAAACAAACAAAAAATATCTTTAGCTAATCAAAATTATGATTAACCCAATCATCATTCAAAAATAATGAAGTATGTCGTTAGTGTTACTTGAACCATGATTAATCTAATAATCACCTGAAAGCAATAATAGTATTTCATAAGGTTACCGTAAGTCTGAAATCATGATTTATTAAAAATCATCCAAAAGCAATAAAACTATAAAGTATATCTTAGGCTTACCAAAATAATCATTATACCTAATAATCATCGACAAGTAATAAATGTATATCCTAGGGTTATCAAATTATGATTACCTAATAGTCACCCGAAGCCCGAAGGCAATAAAAGTATCTCTTAGGGTTTACCAGAATCTTTATCTCATATTATCCAATTTGTAATATTTTGATGCATTACAAAAGATTTGGCTAATTATTAGTAATTAAAAGTATCTCTTAGGGTTTACCAGAATCATGGTTTACCTCATATTATTCAATTTGTAATATTTTGATGCATTACAAAATATTTGGTTAATTATTAGTAATTCAATACGTTTAATTTGGCTAATAGTTAATATTTATCCAAATTATAATTAACCTAATAATCACCCAACTACAAAGTCACTTGTTGAAATTTAAACAAATATTTTAGGTGATTGTCCTATCCTACATGATATCATACAAATATAATGTATTAGAGTGCTATTTTTTATCCAAACTTTCACGAAAGATAATCATAAGGGTCAACGGGAAAAAAAAACGAAATGATATTACCAAAAAAAAAAAAACGAAATGACAGATATTTTACTCACTGAATTCCCAGCATTAGGCATTTAGGCTATTTCTTTGCTTGCTCCCATCTTTCGCGATTGAACAAATCAAAGAACTCAGAAGGCTCTTCTTCAGAAAATGAAATGAAATCGCAGATAGAGTTTGGCTACGAAGGAAAGTTCTGTCCCACGGAACAAGCACAATAAACCACACAAAGCAACTTGTTCTGCAAAGAAACTGAAACTCCATTGACCAAAAACCAAGTTGGTAAAAGTTGATGCTCTATATCCTGTAGTCTATCGCGCGCTCAAGAAGATTCGATTTCTAACTCTTACACGACTTTGTCATGTACATTTGCAATGCACTCTATCTAAACTAATGTCTCTAGCATGAACACAGTCGAAACCAAAATCGTCCCTTTTCCAGAAATAGCCAGAAAATCATATGGCTCCAGTAGATAGAGCCTGGTGAATACCCAAACCCAGAAAAAGAAACAAAGAAACCCGAATATGAAAACTTTCACGAACCTGTGAAACACTAACACAAGCATATCACCTTCACGATGGCACACCATTGCTTGGTTTCTTCTCAACTGCCAAGCCAAAATGTTCCATGAGAATGCGTTTGGAGGTCCTCCCAAAACCATTGGCCACTCTTTTCATATGCTCGAGTTTCTTTCTCTCGCAATTTATCTGATCTATCCTGCTAGTCACTGTGCTCCGCAATTCACCATCACCCATCGCCTCTAAGTTCAGGCATGCTAGTCCAGAATGCTCTTTCTGAAGTTGTTCATAAAGGTTTTGCAGGTTTCTCTTCTTAGCATGGAGTTGTTCTTCTGCAAGCTTGAACTCGAGCTCTTGCGACTCTCGCAGTGCATGGAGCACATCGTTGATCTCAGCATCAAGTTGGAGAATTTCAGTGTTGTAATCAGGAGTTTTGGCTTCCAAATCAAGAAAGGGTTGTTTTTTGTTCATGTCTATGTCAAAAGACCAAAGTAAAGACACATGCAATAAGAATTCAGGCAATAATTTGAAGATAGAGCATCAGACTAAGAGAGGATAAGCCAGAAGAAACATGTCAAATGGATCAGAAGAGAATTTACCAGATGCATCATTGTCTGCTTTCCATACATCTTCAAGGGTAGTCCCATGACTAAGCTGGAGATGTTAAAATGAAATTGTTAATTCATCTATAAAAAGTAGAGTGAAAAAGCTACTATAACCTTTTTCTGCCAATAAAAGAAAAGGCCTTTTCATATTACTGCCAAAAAAAAGCTGAATTCGTTTTATAGGGCATCTGCATCCTGTTGTTATAGGAATTGCACAAGCCATGTTGGCAGCTACATGGCACTTGCAATTGCAATTTTATGTATGTGGATGCAATGCAATTTCAAGTACGAAAGCTTGCTAATACAGCAATTGGGTTTGCAATGTCACTAATTGAAAATGCAGATCATTATGGCGATGCATATGATTAAAAAAATTGCCAAATTGAGTGGTTGTTAAGATTGTCTATGCGATACTTGAAATGACAAATTAACTGCAAGGACGGAAATAATCTTACATTTTTGGCAGCCAATTGAATACGCTTCAGCAAATCCCTGGCATTATTTCTCTGAGATCCACGCAAGATGCAGATGCCAAGATTTAATATTTTCGCTATCTCATCTCGAGAATCCATGAATTTGCAAGTTTGTAAAAGCTTCACAGCATGTGGAACCAGATCAGTCTTTGCATCACAACGCCGGCAAAAGTACTCAGCATCAAGACCAATACTTCCGCCAACAGTTCCTGCCATGTAAGTTCTCAGAGCACATTCAATGTGGGCTACATGGCTACATATGCACCCTGGGCTCAACACTGATTGGCACTTTATGTAATTGTAAGCACCATGTGATGGAGTAATGATTTTGGAACAGAGAATACAACAACAATCACGACAGAAACCAGGCTCCATACAGCAAATATCACAAGGTACTGAAGGTACAGGAGGACTACTTCCTATTGCTTCTTCAAGACTACTGCAACCCTTATTTCCTGCCTTACAGCCTCCATAGGATTGGGGATCACATGCTAAAGTAGCTGAAGGGGGCACAGGAAAGGCACCGCTATCAATGTCTCCTGTAATAGTTAGAGAAGGATTCCTATTCGCAAGTCCTGTAAATAGGAGAAGACAGAAAAGAAGAAAATCAAACGAAATATAGCCCACCACAAGCTGCCTAGCCAAGACTTGATTACCATATATTACAGAAAGGTAGAAAATACTCTCCGATATTAGTAGCTCATTAACCACAAATGCTATCTACTTAAACGGGCTACCATGCTACGTCGCAACAAATGCAACATAACGGTAAAAAATAAATTTACTCGAGTACATTGGTACTGTCTAAATTACAGTACAGTTGTTGAACCTAAAGCCATTAACATTCCCTTCATACATTCTCTTTTGGCATGTGGACTTCTTGAATAGGATCGAAATCCGTACAAGGAATGAATGTACAACACAAACAGGGACCAGACCATGAGCATAACACATACAAGTTGTAGTTTGTACGGGAATGTACCATAGAAGGTACACAATTTTCATTGCAAGGTAATATACTTCTCTATTTGGCAGCACTTGGAAGCCACTTGAAGTATCTTCTTGTTCCTATACTTGAGTTTTGGAAAAAGGTCGAGATAATTACCCTTAATAGGACACATAAGGTGAAACTAGATCAGGCTAACTATCATTTCATGACTCGAAGATTAAATTTATGCATAGATATGGCACCATTAAAGCTAAGTGCAGTTCCAAGCTAAAGACCAGGACTTCTGTCAATGCGAGTAGCACAGGGATACACATAACATTACAAGCACAACAAAATAACAAGGCAGACCACTGAGAACCAGTTAAGAGAGGCACCAAAATTTATACAAGCTGTATGAAGAGAGAACTCACTGATCATGGAGGCCTGGTTAGAAGGGATCCTCCAGACGAAGGAATCAAAGAATGCCTCAATATCAGCCTTGGGGAAATGCGTTTGAAGGAATCTCCGAACAGAAAGCTTGCTTGCGAAACCGTTCTTCACACGAGCAGGAGCGCCCACAAGATGGCAAAGGCTTTTGGGGAGGTAGAGGAACCTGTCCTGATGACACCCAGAGTAGGTTAGTCGTTTCCCAACTTTCCAACCCCACATGTCTCCAGGATTCGGCCAATTCTCAGGAGCATAAGGCAGCCCTTCACCAGCCTCATCACATGGAACTGGCCTCAGACGGAAGCAAGATCCTTTCGTTTTAGATGACGTATTTCCTTTTCCCATCTCGTCAGTTTCCATTGGCTCCTTCCCCATGGAGATTATCCTAGCCGGGGTATCAGTTCAGGATTAAAAGAACACAAAGAATCCCAGGTTTAACATAAAGACAATGGCTCTTATTCCGAGTTTTCATGATCAGCAATTTAGTTCCAAATTCAAGGGGCATCTAAACCCAAATAAAACAAAACAAATAGAGAAGAGAAAAGAAAAGAAGAGCAGTCGGAGCGTTACCGGAGTCCTTCTGTTCAGAGAAATGGAAGGGAGGAATTAGGGTTCCGACAAAAATCACGGTGAGGGGAATGGAATGCGGTCGCTCGAGGGGAGTGAGAAATGAAAGGGTCCGAGTGGGCTTTGGCAGCAGAGAAGGTAACGGTAGCAAGGGAGCCCGGAATAATTTGACGGCGGGGAAGCGGCGATTGAAGCTTAATATACAACATTTGAGTTGCCGTAATTGGCAAGTTAATGAATTGGGAATTTGGAACCCTAAATGCGCTCAGTGACAGTTCAGAACACGGCTCAAGATAGGGTGCATAACCCATGGTTATGCACCCATCAATAACCAAATCTGGACCCTTCATTTAGAAAATCCAGATCTAAGGGTGGAGAATTAAAGGCTATTTTTATTTTCACTAGCTTTCTTAATTGACTCATATCTTTTTCGTTTTAACTCGGATTTTAATTTTTTTTGCACAGATGGAACGAGTTCACCGTGCTCTATAAAATGAGATCAATTTTCAATATATTTTGAGGAAAAAAAATTATGGCCTCTCGGTACCAACTGCATACCATATGGTATCTTCTTCGTTTTTAATTCGTTTTTGAAAACGTTTGCACAGCAGGGACGAGTTCATCATGATCTACTGGATCTACAAATTTCTGGGTGAACAAATTACAGGACCAAAAAATACCACACAATACCATACAATACCACCCTGGTACGGGGTGGTATTGTATGGTATCTTCTTCGTTTTTAATTCGTTTTTGAAAACGTTTGCACGGAAGGGACGAGTTCATCATGATCTATTGGATCTACAAATTTCTGGGTGAACAAATTACAGGACCAAAAAATACCACACAATACCATACAATACCACCCTGGTACGGGGTGGTATTGTGTGGTATACAATGTTAAAAGTCGTAAATTACATTTAATATACTTCGACTATCATGTATTCAACCATCCTACAGTATTGGTTTGTTCATACCACCATGGTACGTTTTTCAAAACATAGGTATGCTTTTATTTCAATACCAGTCAATACCATATGGTATAGGCTGGTAAAAAATGGCTCAATTTTTTTTGTTCGAAAAATATATTAAAGTGGATATCATTTTGAAGAGCACAATTAATCTGATCTAACTGTGCAAAAAAAATGAAATTTCGACTTAAAATGAGCGAGAAATCGTCCGTCAAAGATTAAAGAGGAAAAAATTAAAGGCTTTCTATGAGAGAGAGGATGCTGATGTCATGCTGATGTGGACGGGTTACTCATGGTTACTCACCATAAGGTTACTGACCTGATCCATTCCCTCAGAACACCCAGGCCAGCAAGCAGCGAAGCCAAACGCGCCGCGCTCTAACTCGCAGCGGCTGTGTTCTTCGAATCCAACCGAGAGGCGGTAAAGCTTGGTGTGAAAAACCGTTCTCACCGGCTCAACATAGAGTAACCAAATCTGTATCTTTTTGAGTGGGCTGCAGCCTGCAGCTCAGGGAATTTTTTTTTTTAATTTTTAGTTCTTATCTTATTGATTCTAACTTGGATTTCAATTTTTTCATAGATGAAACGAGTTGGTTGTGCTTTACAAAATGATATCAATTTTCAATATTTTTTGAGAATTTTTTTTTCATACCTCTTATTACCAATTTCATATCATATGGTATCTCCTTCGTTTTTAAGACATTTTCGAAAAAAATTACACATAAATAACAAGTTAATCACGATCTATTTGATCTAAAAATTTCTGGGTGAAAAAAATACAAGACCAAAAAATACCATACTATACCACCTTGATATCTTGTGGTACACAATGTTGATAATCATATATATATATCAGTTAGTATGCTCCTACTATCATGTATTTAACCATCGTATAGTCTTGGCATGTTCATACCACCATGGTACGCTTTCATGCCATATGAAATGTTATTATTTTAATATCAATCAATACCACCATGGTATAGACAAGTAAAAAATATCTCAATTTTTTTGTTATAAATATATCAAAGTGGATATCATTTTGAAGAGCACAATTAGTCCGATTTATCCGTGAAAAAAAATTAAATTTTGACTTAAAATGAGAGAGAATACGTTCGTTAAATATTACAAGAGAAAAGATTACAGGCTTTCCAGAAGAGAGAGGGTGTGTTGATGTGGCAGCTGATGATTGGGTTATGCATAATTAATCACACATGGGTTACTGACCGGATTCGGTTCCGTTATGACTAGTGCCATACTATTTTGATCAATCGGTACTTTTTCTTTTTTAATCCTAGACCGTCAAGATCAAGAAGGATAAATCAGTTAACGTGGCTACAACAAGGGCAACACATAAGCCAATTTGAGCCGAGTTTTAACCTACATTGAGCTCAGCTTGTTAATAAAGGAGTCGAGCTCGACCTCGGTTTGTTTACAAAATCTTAACTTGTGTTAACTCGAGCTCGATTCAAGCTTGGCTTGTTGATGAGCTCACGAGCTCTACTTGAGTTATGCTCATCAATCAGCTCGAGAGAGCCGCTCGAATTCGGGGATTATATCATTTAGTTCAAAAAAATTAAATATTCATATCTTTTTAGTCAATAATAATTAGTATCTAAACAATCTATCATACATTATGTCTCTTTATTAGTAGATATATTAATCCACAAGTATCAAGTAGGTAGGGTCTGGTGGAATACATGTAGGTTCACCGTAAGCCCCCTACACCCTCTTTAGTTTTTTCCATCGCGAGATCCCATCCTTCTTCCCCATACACTTCTTTCTCATCATAGCCTTGCCAATTACTAGGGGTGGAGCTTCGGTTAGTTCAGTTATAACAGGTAACCAATCGGTCGGTTATCGGTTAACCGAACTGACGACCCCCTTACTGATAACCGACCGAAATAGGGATTTAGACTTCCTTTATCTCGATTTTCAGTTAACCGAACAATCTCCAAGATCAAAACCACCTCGGCCAACCTCCAAACACCGATCGAAATTCGGTTATCGGTTAGTGAATAACCGGCCGGTTAACCGGTAACCGAAACTCCACCCCTAACAATTACCATTTGTGATTTTCCTCAGTCGACCTACTGGCGATTGGCCAAGTAAATCAAGTTGGCCTGATTGAACTAACGCTAGGCAAGCATCGATCGCACGCATGTACCCATTGATCCTCCTCCTTCCAGGCAAGATCGATTGCCCATTTTTTCAGCTCCTTCCTTCTCCGCGTCTGTTTCCCGTCCATCCTCCCTTATTTTTCTAGCGATTACCCACCACGATTTTTCTGTTTAGCCCGACTGTTTCTTTCCCTCCGTCGATCTACCTGGCGGCTAGCCAAGTCTCGGTCTCCCTTTTCCCTTTTTTCCCTCCAAAAACACTCATCAGTGGACTGATAGGTAAGTTTGAGAAGGTGCTTGACGTCCGGTGAATGAGAGACTCACTCTTGCCAGGGATGCTTAGGATGCAGTGGTGGAGCCACGTTATTGGTAAGAGGGGCTATAGCTGCACTTAACTCTCCAAATTGTATTATTTGTACATATAAATTTTGTAACACATTTCGAAAAAATAGAGTAATTTTTTTCTGTATCGACTAAATTAAATTTATAAAACCTTTATTAGAGACTGTCTTTATGGCAGAATTCAAACGAAAGCAATTGCCACTGAAATAGGCTCTTCGGTAACTCATAGGCTGGGTAAGAGAACTCGCCTGGAAAGACACTCAGTTCAAATCTCTTAAACATAAATTTAGGGTAAATTGCAAGTTTGGTCACTGAATTTACTAAAAAAGCTCACGTTTGGTCACTAAAAATATTTAATTTCATTCGTAGTCACTAACATTAATTCAATAGTTCAAGTTTGGTCACTCTCCGTTAATTTTAACTTATGTGGCAGTCAACGATCATAGTTGACCGTTAAATATGTGACGTGGCAAATAAAAAATAATTTAATATTTATTTTTTATTTTCCAGCTCATTACAATTACTAAAAATAAAAAAAAATTATTATTTTGGCCCTCATATATCCTACCACCGCCGCTTCTTCCTCTTCTTCTCCCTTTTCCAGCTACCCAAACGCCGACTAAACAGCCCACCAGAAAATCCCGCCGGGATCGCCATTTCCTGCATCGTCTCGCCCACTTCTCGTCTTTTTATGCTTCCGCAGTTCCTCGAGATCGATTGGGTAAGAATTGATGGGAAACCGAAATGGAGAGTTTGGTAGTGGCGAAGCAGAGGACCAAGGCTTTGGTGGTCTAGAAAAATGGATCCTCGTCGGCGGCGGCGGTGGGGATTTCCATTGCGTCCACTTCGTGGTTTGCTACTACGACGAAGATGCAGCGGATGATAGAGTTCCACCTGGCGAGGAAGCACTACAACGGATCGGGGACGTGTCTGGATTCCGCAATCGCCTTGCCCCGTCGCCACTTCATCGCGCTACAAAAGACGTTGTCGTTGTCCACAGTGCACAGATCCAACCGAATCGGTCGATTGCCAAATCCAACAAGAACAAGCTCGATGGATGGAAGGATTTCTTCATCAGGTTGATCCCAAACCCACCAATCAAACCTCAAAACAAAAATAAAAAAGAGGAAATTAGATCTGAAATCGCCGACAATTCATCATTAAATCCATTCTGCATATCGTTCGGATCTTCTACCTCATTGTCTTTTTTTTTTACAATAGCTACCTTATTGCCACGGTTTCTAGCTTTGTGAAGAACTGGAGTAAGATTTGACAGTAGCGTTGTCTTCGGCGGTGGAGGAAGAAGAGGCTTTCCCTTTCTGAACGCTGAAAACCCATCAATCGTCTTCTATATGAAGATCGGCGGCAGAGGAGTTGGGGAACCATCAATTGGAAGAATGATTAAGATGGGTTTCAATAATTGTTTTTTGTATTTTATGATAGGAAATTAAAAGAATTAACATTTTTAATATTTATAATGCAATGGAAAATAAAAAATTTTGTTTTTTATTTTTTTGTTGCCACGTCATATATTTAACGGTCAACTATGAACGTTGACTGCCACGTCAGCTAAAATTAACGGAGAATAACGGAGAGTGACCAAACTTGAACTATTGAATTAATGTTAGTGACTACGAATAGAATTAAATATTTTTAGTGACCAAACGTGAGCTTTTTAGTAAACACAATGACCAAACTTGCAATTTACCCCATAAATTTACATCTCTTTTTTCAGATTTCTCTCTCCACAACTGCGAGAATGATGTAGTTACTATTAAGATCGTGAAGAGCTAGTGGGTCTCTACTTGACATTTGCTCATCATTTTCCACAATAATGAGCTTCAAAATGGACAAAGAAAAAGACCCACGCCCATTATCCAAAACTTTGGCATATTTGTCCAAGCACTGGATATCATCATCCTCTTCCATCACAAGAATAAGATTCGTCGTCGCTGGACGACGACGACGATGGCGAACAATAATTCACACTGAGTGGGACTGCGCCTGACTGACCGTGGCCAAGAATGAGACCTCCTTCCCTTCCCCATGTGCCTTGGCCGACAGCGACTACACAACATAAAACAAATTTCCCCACCCAAATTCTGAAAGATCTACGTCCACTTCTCTTCTCTTCTCCACACAACAGATAGGAAGGAAACAAGCACAAATGGAATGGAAAAGTAAGGACCAGAAGTTGGCTAAAATTGGGGTTTGTACTATGTACAGCAATCGAACAAAAGCATCGTTCTCGTCATTCCAGCAGCAGCTCTTGTTGTTGGAATGTATTACGCGTCCGGAGAGGGTCCAGCAACTGCTTGTCCAGTGTCCAAAGCATAGACACACATTCTGCACGATCGAAACAACGATAACATTAGCGACAGTTCGTCGCCTAAAAACAAATTCATCAGTTAGTTTTACTGTCTCATAGCCTGGCTGTTGAAATGTAGAGTACCTTGATTGCGAACGAGGTTCTGCAACAGCGACGAAGGAGAGCGTTCGTCCGTGTGTTGTGACAGTAGTATGGAGTGTGCTAGAGGTATCAATTTCCGGTCGCCGAATGAATGCAACATTTGGTTCATCCAAGATACAGTGAACAGGCTGGTTCGTGCTAGTTTGGGAACTCCATTCGCTATCGCGCCCGAGAGCGCCATCAAGAATGTCTGCCCTCCACTGTTTAGCAGCACTGTTACCAGTTTCCTCTGCCATTCGATCGTTGCTTCCTCTTCCTCGTTCTGGTATTGAGGGGGGAGAAAACTTTCAATAGGCTCAAAATTGGGAACATTTGTGCTTTTTACAATGATCCAAAATTCAAAAAATTTACTCACCAAGTCACTACCATCAATGGAATCGTCCAATCTCCCTCGAAACAGCCATTCCTCCGTCGATGTTGTCGTGGACTCTCCGTCGTGAGAGAAGCTCCCTCCCATCATCAACAGAGCTCTTGCCGTTTGTTCTTGTGCCTCGGAATCACATCTCTCGCAATCCAGACATTCTATCAGTGCTTCAATTGCTTCTTCTCTGTAAACACTGTGCTTCATAGGATCTCCCTCCTGTGAAACATCATCACTTGGTGTTACAAAATTTTCTAAACGATCTTGCAACCTAAGAGGAAACCAGAACTAACCAGAAGATCAAGCTGCAAAAGTACTGCAGCAACCAATGGTCGATCCACTGCAGAAGCTCGCTGTAGATAGCTGAGAAAGATGTGCATTGCGTTCAACCCATCATCAAACCCATGATTGATTTGAATCAATAGCCTAATGATCTCACTTCTTCTGCAATCAAAACACGGAAAATAAATCAAACTAATGGCGTAGTAAGAAATTGGGGAAACCCTAATCTCATCCCTTCAGAAAATTAATTACCTGCTGAGGCAGAGCAACTCTGTCAACAACCCAAAGGCAAATCCTCTGTTCCCCTGTTGCTTCCTAACCCCAAGAGCAATCAGCTGAAGAAGAAACCTTTTACTCAAATTCTCAGCTAAGTAATCCCTACAACTCCCAACGGCTTTCACGCAGCTATACATCAGCATCGCAATCCCTTCCCTCTCCTTAACACCGCCGATCTCGAATCTTCGAACCAGCAAGCTCAACCCGCCAAGCGACACAACTTCGCTAGAGTTCTCCAAGTTCTTGTCTTCGTCGAAGCCCCTCATCAGCTGTTCCAAGAAGTACAGCGCCGCCTCGTGTGGATAACACAAGACGGTGAAAAGCACCTGCAATTGATCCCCAAACTCCAAAACTCTGAGCGCCAGAGCAACCCATTCCGTGGAAATCATTTGTTTCGCCAGGGGTTTCAGCTGGTACAGCAGAGTCGCCGCCTTGAGAAAAAGACTGCTGCTTTTCAGTAGCTTGATGAAGATCTCGAGCTGCGGGTCGTAGTTCAGAATCGTCACCCTGTTTCGGTCTTTTCTGGAGGCTAGCTCGGCTAGCAGGGAGATGACCAGCTCGAGAACTTCGTCGTCTTGCGATGCGTAGAGGATCTCGATCATCGATTCGATCACTGGTTGCTTGGACAGAGCGTCGACGATTACTGGGTCGCCGCCGGAATTCAACCACGTCCTTGCGATTTCGTGGATCGCTGATTCGCAATCGCTCAGTACGTCGGATGTGCAGATTTCAACGATCGGTCTTCTCAGTGGGCTCGAACGGAGATGCGAATCGTCTAGAGAATTTCTGCGGGAAGAAAGATTGTTCTTCAGAGCTAAATTTGCATCCGCCGCCGCCACCACACACTCTGCTACCATGCTTCTGCAGGAGAAGAACTTCGAGGATTCTAGTTTTTGCAGGCCATCACTCGCTGACAACGCAATCATCGAGCTACTGTAATCTTGGGTAGTTCTTAATCCCGAGCCCGATTTTGTCTTGCTCTGTAAAAAAATGACAGGAACAGAGTTGTAAGAACTGGGGGGGAAAAAGAAAATAAAGTTGCAGTCTTTTGCTAACTAACCACAATGAACTTGCCGTCCTCGTCACTGTCAACAGCCGGCGATACTTCCTTCTCCTCGCCCTTCAATTGGTGGGGAGGCGTTCGGCCAAATACGTACTCAAATCTTCCTTCCGAGAAATTTTTTGATTAATACCCAGAGAAGAGCAATAAATAAATAAAAAATTAAGCAGGGGAATTGTAAAAAATTCGACTCACAAGCTACGATTGATAGAGAGCTGAGAATCGGAAGAATCCATGGAACTTCGCCTTCTGGGTTTAGATGCCGGCAGAGGAACATCAGGAACCGAAGGCGACTTCACCCCAATTTTGAGCCAATCTTTATAATACAGAGCAAACTGACGCGTCCCGAAATCCATAGAATGGTTATAAACTCTACACAACGATTTCAGACATTTCTCAGAGCTCTGTGAACTGGATACCAATTGGAGCTCATCGTGATACCACACTCTCAAATGGAGGAGATGAGGGAGAAAGAAATGATCCCAGAGATCGGGAAGCAAGTGGGTCCTGGCAAGCAGAGGAGCGTCGCAGAATGACTGAAGCAAGTGAATTGCAGACATCCTGTCGTTCTTCTCAAGCTTGTAAACAATGGAGAGGTACAATTGGGCGCAGGAAGAGAGATGCGAGTTCGGGATCCCAGCCGTCGATTGTTTCCTGAGTTTTTCGGAGTTCAACGAGGACACGATCGTCAGGAGCTGGATGGAATTGCTTAGCAGTTCCTTCTTCTTTACCATTGCTCTGTTCTGGACCAATTCGTCGACGTTTTGGACGGCGAGCTCCATGTTCGTCAGGATCGGGTCATTGGATTTTCCGACGAGGCAGGAATTGCATTTCTCCCGGACTCTTTGCCGGAAAGCCGCGTCCTTGGTGTACTTTCCAATGTAGCCGCTGAGTATCGAGACGATTGCCTTGACGGCGATTTGATCCATCGCCGGCTGTCCACCGCCGGTGCTGTCAATGCTTAACTTTCTCGTTCTTGACGAGATATTTTCGCTGGTTCTTTTGGGTTTGACGGATTTCTCGACATGGCAAATGTAGATTGGAGACTTGAAGTTGAAGACAGGGTCATCGACCGTCTTTCTGAAGCTCCCCTGTTTTTGCTTCCTGCTGCTGCTGCTGCGCTTGAATCCTTCTTCGGCGAGCAGTTGCTGTAAAGATGCCATTTTTTTGTACGGGTTTGAGAATTTCAGACTTGGGTTTGGGATTTCAATTTGACGCCATTGTTCCGAACTTTCAGAGGTGGGGAGAGAAGAGAAGCTAGAGCCTAGAAATGAGGTAACACAAGCCAAAAGGAAGGAGGAGAAGAAAGACAGGTGAGCAATGTGGATGGGCGTCTTGGATAGAGGCGGCAAATATCTATATAGGATCCTAGAAACTGGTATGCGAGACAAAATATTTCTTTTGGAATTTATTTGTTTCAGAGGTTTCCATTGCCTGGGCAAGTGAGGTAACTTTTACAAGTTACAAAGCGAAGAACATTGAAAACGAAGGATTAAGGTATCAGTTAAATGCCTCGTAGCGTCGCTTCTTAACACCTTAGCTTATAAAATTCTTGCTTTCGGTAATCTATTGTATATTGGCCATTGTTGGAGGAAAGGATCCTAGCTTTGTGCCACTTGGATGCAAGAACAACAGCTTAATCCATCATCAGCATGGGTTGATCAATTTGAGTGAGTGTCACAAATGAAATAGCGGATTAAAAGCTATCTCAAGTAGTTAGTTAAGATTAAGATATTGAAACAAGGATTTCAAAACACTATTTGGTAGTGTCCCTTCAAAAAAAGTTTTTTAATAATTAAAAATTGTTTAACAATATTAATATTTTAATAGCATTTATATTGTTTATGTATTTTTCTTTCCTTTCTAAAATTCTTTCTCATCAATTCTCCCCCCTCCTTCCCAGGTTTGTCAACCCGATTTAGCCCGTTGGTCTAGTAAAGCAAGTGGGATGAGAGTTCATGGTTGATCATGTTAGTCCGTTTTAACCCGGATACATGAAAAAAAATAATCATTATATGCATTTATAAATTTTATCAAATCTCATCTAACATGTGAGTAACATCAATATCAATATTTAGAGGTTCAACTTAAAATTCCAAAGATAGGGTTTGGCATATAGAAAAACTGAAAAGAGACACATTTCGTAAAAGAAAGTAAAAAACAACATTGTGTGACCTCCAACCCATTAACCTTGCAACAGGTCGACCCAACGGGTGTGTGTGACCCGTTTTTCTCAGCGGATCAAAGTCAAAACGGGCCACGAGTCAACCTGTTGGTTGACAATCTCTCTCTCTCTCTCTCTCTCTCTCTCTCTCTCTCTCTCTCTCTCTCTCTCTCTCTCTCTCTCTCTCTCTCTCTCTCTCTCCCTCTCTCTCTCCTTTTTTTTCTTCCACCATAAAACTATTTCCCTCCCCATTCTCCATCTCTTCCAATCCACCCAACTCTTCCTCCAAAATCCATGTCTAGGAATGGCAACGGGTTGGGTCAGGGGCAGATAGTGCATATCTGTTACCCTACGTACCTAAAGTAGTTCGGGTTTTACTTATACTCATACCCACAGTGAATCAATGTCAAAACGGGTCACGAGTCAACCAACGGGGCGACTCGCTAGTTGACAACCTCTCTCTCTCTCTCTCTCTCTCTCTCTCTCTCGCCACAAAACTCTTTCCCTCCACATTCTCTATCTCTTCCCATTCACCCAACTCTTCCTCCAAAACCGTCTCTAGAGATGGCAACGGGTCAGGTCAGGGACGGATAATGCATATCCGTTATCCTACCCAAAATAGTTTGGGTTTTACCCATATTCGGTTTCGTATATTCACGATTATCCATGAGCAATAATTTCTCTTTATAACTTCAACCAACATGTTAACATTTACATGGGTTTCGGATATCCCATGGATACCACATATAAATCGGGTAAAAAAATCAAAATCGTGCTCATACTCATTTGGGTTTCGGATATCCACGGTTATCCATGGATAATAATTTTCTGTTTATAACTTCAACCAACATGTTAACAGATACACATATGCTCACATTACATAAGTGGAAAAGTACGATAGTAAGTCACTATAATGAACAAAATTAATTTCAAAGAACACAATATCATGAAAATATGATATTTGTATGCTAAATATAAACTTTGCTGAGAAAATACTCATTTCTATATAAATTACATATGCAGGTATACAATTGGGCGAGTTCGGGTTGGATAGTGAGAAAATCATGACCACCCATTACCCGCAATATTTTGATTCGGGTTCGGAAATAAAAGCAATAGAGCTCACCTAAAGTTACTGAAGTCCTCTCTCCAAGTTTGCACACAGTGAATGTTGAACTCCGTCGCCATAAATTATATATATATGGTGGCGTCTTCGGTGCACTCACTTTTTTGGGTGCATTCAGTGCACTCACTTCATAATCGTCATTTTAAACATGCGATTTATGTCAAAATGATGTCAATCATCACTTATGATATGATGAACAATAACACACATGAATTTGCACAAAAACCATTAAAGTTTTACTTTAATTTGAAGGATTTAGAGTTTAGAGATTTAGGATTAGGGTTAGGGTTTACAATTTGGGGTTTAGGGATAGAACTCAAAATTAGAGGTCTAGGGCTTAGGGTAATCCTCTAATCAGTTCTTATCATATGTTATATCATCATATTACACTAATTTTATAAATTAAAATTCAAAATCCAACACCTTAAGACTATTTTTTGAGTTGGGTGCATTGAACGCACTCATTTTAGTGAGTGCACCGAAGTAGTCACCTATATATATATATATATATATATATATATATATATATATATATATATATATATATATCAGAGATCATTCACCCTCCCGCCCAACTACATTACCCGTCCCATTGTCGAGGGCACTAGCATGTGAAATCCACTTGCTTTCGCCATTTTGAATCATCAAAACTATTTTACCATTTTTTCCGCGACACTATTTTCATTTGCAGTTTTGACTAAATTGTAAAAGAAAAGCATCAACACATGGCGAAAGCTTATTGAATGGTTGGTTTTTGGTCCTTACACGAATATGCACATTTCTTTATTTGATTATGAAATATTAAGTGTTGACCTTGATCCGTTGAGAAAAACGGGCCACACACCCCTCTGGGTTGACCCGGTGCAAGGTTACCAGGTTGGAGGTCGCACGACGTTTTTTACTTTCTTTTACGAAATGTGTCTCTTTTTCAGTTTTTCTATTGTCGAGGGCACTACCATGTGAGATCCACTTGCCTTCACCATTTTGAAGAACATAGCAAGAGGCGGATCGGTTCACGGCCACGCAGATCTTCACGTCGGTTGGAGACCCACGATTCCTCCTCCCTCCGGCGTTTCCTCTTCAAACATACCAGCCTCTCCCCCGCCATAGACCCCCCAACGACAAAAAAATCTCTAATCCAATCCAAAGAACCCCTAATCTGATTGTGCAACCATCTTCCTTTCCCCAACAGCAAAACCCCAATTCAATCAATAGAAACCCTCAAATGAAACCATCCCAATTTGTATCTTCGCATCTGCCTCCAAATCCGCGATATTCATTTCGATTCCTCCCAACCGACCTCCACAGCTTTCTTCGCTCAGTGGCCATACACAAACTCAGTAAAGCTATCGGGCGAATGGAGCGACGTGAGGTGGCAGGATCTGCGCAGCCGGCGAGGGAGAGAGAGAAAATAAATAATATTTGATTTTTTATTTTTGTTTTTTCTGTTAATTCCACCTCATGTTTTTATTGACTAAACGGTTGACATGTCAGCTTTTCCGTTAGTCCAGTTAGCATGTTAACTAACACCGTCAAACAATTGGACGGAAGTGACTATTTTTGGTATTTCGCCAAACATGGCTATATTTGGCAAAACCATCAAAGTTTTGACTATACAAATGTATTTGGCCTTGGAATAATTACATTTGAGCGTTCTGCACCTATCAAAACATGAATGTTCATACTTCTGAGGTGGCGTTCTATAGTTGCCTACCTTAACATCATGATCATTTACTTGTCTGATTAGGAAAAAGGGCTCTCTTGAGTAATCAAAAAGTTTGGTGAGCGATCAACAACATTAATCTTCGATGTAATTTGATGAGGTTTATGAATTGAGTAATTATTGTTGGTCTCTTATTTTTGTCAGCTTCTTCAATCAAATTTGATAGAATAATGGTGTTTTGTGTATTTGTGTTGGATCGTTTTGATTATGGATTGATATCTCCTGCATTTTGCTTGATCCACGTCAGATTGTGGTGGTTATTTTTTTCCTTACGAACGGTGGTTATCTTTCTTTTTTTTCTTTTATGCACGGTGGTTATTTTTTCCTTTACGTTAGAATATTTTTATATTAAAAAATCTGCCTTTTTTTTTTTACAAAAGATAGTGATATATTGAATCAAGCTAAAAGATAGTTACACCCTGGAGATCAGCCAGGCCTGAAAATCAAAAAACTGATTCATAGACGGGTACAAAGAAAGGGCCTTTCTAGCCACCAAATGGGCTACCCTATTGCTACGCTGACCTACAAACCGAACATCAAACCCAGACTGGGGACTAAAATACTGCATAAGCTCTTCCAACACCGCCCCCGTCTGATTGTCTCGCGTATCTGCCTGATTGATTTTATCAATGATCACCTTGGCATCACCTTCAAAAACGACGTTTCTCACTCCAAGTTCTAGGCACCAACGAATTGCATCCCGAAGCACGAGAAGCTCCACCACCATCGGATCATCAACCACCGGCAACTGGACACCCTTAACTAGGAGAAGCTCTCTTAAATGAGTGAAAAGAACAATCCCCCCCCCCCCCCCCCCCCGGCCGAGTGGGATCCATGCCTAGTTGCACCATCCCACATACAAATAAGCCTACCTGCCCCCACTGGAGCTAAGTTCTGTGATGTGCGGATGCCAGAGACGTGCCTCAGGCTAATGGTTGGCAAACTCATCCATTCCTCAAACTGCTGGTGAAACTGGTGCATCAAAGCATGGAAGATATACTGCTTACCCTCAAAGACGACCCAATTACGAGATCGCCAAATTCGCCAAAGAACAGCCACAACAGCCATGAACAGCCTTGGCTGATCAATCAAAGCCAGCAGCTTCTTGAGAAACAAAGGAAAAGTGTGTTGAGGCAATCCCTCCCCCAGATAATTCAATCCCGAATAGTCCCATATGGCGCACGCTACCGGGCAAGAGAGAAATAAATGCTCCATCGTCTCCAAACTAGCCTAGCACACCGGACAACAAGGATTCGCGGAGACCTTCTTTTCTAACAGAGCCTCCATAGTAGGAAGAGCACGACTAAGCACCTGCCATACAAAAACCTTTAACTTGGGAGGGATCTCAGCATCCCACAACCGGATCCAGCTAGCCTTATCCATCCAACTTGCTAGGGACTTCCAGCACCCCCGCCTTCTTTCAACAGTAACAGCCAGGTGGTAAGCCGATTTAACAGTTAAAAAATCTGCCTATTTGGAATTCAAGAGTTTAATTTCTTACTTTCAAAAAGATGTCATTTCGGATGAATTCTTTAAAAGCCCCTCTCCGGTTCTTTGTTAACTGATTAGAGCATCTCCATCAATGCAATTGCAAAAGAAATTGTATTTGTGTTTTTTATTTTCAACTTTTTTTTTTGCAATCCACATCACATTCATTTCATTCACCTACATCAATGCAATTAACTTGCAATTGCAAATGTAATAAAATATTATGTTTAAATTATACATAATTAAGAAACAATTAAAATTTCTTATTATTGTTTGTACCAGTTTTGTAACAAAAATATGATTATAAATGCTCTTTAAACTATGTTCATAGATTATGAAGAGGTCATTCTTTCATCCCTAAATTCAATGGAATGAATGAATGGAATCTTCTTCACAATGTTCTAAAGAAAAACTATGTTGTAATCCAGTACTGTCGGTTCGATCAGAAAAACTTCATTGCATATGCTAGATTGATAAGCGGTATTTAGCAGTATGAAATGGTTGAACCATGGTTAAGTCATGATGTTCATATTGTTGACTTTTTTGATACAACCTCCGACACAATTTTACAATCCTTAGTTAGAATCAAGAACAAAAAATTATATCATACTGTTGGGTATATGACTCGGATCTCGCCAGTCTCGAGCGCAATGAGACTTGCACGCACGAACAAGGTCCAAGGCACCGAACGATGACGTTCCAGTTGAGCGTTGACCAGGCTGGGAGAAGTCACAAACGACGACGCATCCCTCGGGAGCAGTCACATCGCAGTCCCATCGCAGTCCTAGGGACCATCATGGATAAACCTCCTAGTCCTAGGTAGAAGTATGGTCTAAAGTCTGACATGTCAACAGTCATGTCACCATGTAAACTCACCCACCACCATGTAGCCTATAAATATGGCATTTACTCCGGTGGGTGAGGGGATCGCATTTTCGGATTCTATCTCTACAAACATCAACTTCTCTCTCTAAAATACTAATTCTCTCAACCTCATTCTCCCAGACCTTTGTTCTACGTCATATAGTTGATTCCCATTGCTTACTCTCCTTGACCCACTTTCTTTCCCGAACCTCACTCCTACACTTAGTTAGGTTCAAACACATACTATCATCTAATTAGTGAAAATTATAAAATATAGATTACCTGCCCAAAGGGCAGGGTCAAAGCTAGTCTATGTTAAATTATTTTTTATTCAATGATAAAAACTTAAAAAGAGAAAACATATATATGTGTGAAAAAATTTACAAAAATGCACAATTGAAAAAGGAGGTCTTCTATTGGTTAGATTACCGATCGATTATTTTGATCTAACCTTACTGAATCACTTGCTTAACGGCTAGCGGTTAACCGAAAAAATGATTGATGATTGACAATATAGTTAAGGTTAATCGACTAGTGTAGATGATACAGTTAACAATAAGCACAAATTATTTGAAAGTTAATCGACAACCGACTAAACGGTTACTGTTATAACCGAACAACAACTACTAACAACCCTAAATAAAATATTAAGGACAAGTTTGCTTAAAGGATTTTGTGAACGAATCTTATTCCTCTTGCAGTTTGAACGAAGTCTATTGCTTGCTTCATGCAGTTAGAGGTATCAAATTTCTGGATCAAATTTCTGGAGGTGCATGTACTTTGAGGGTCCAAATTCATAAATCCTATGAACTTGCAAACTACAATTCTTAATGCGAGTTTTGGGTGAGGTTTTAAAATCCATGATAGTACCTTATCCATTTATCCTCTACCCTCCTATTTCCTTTCTACGAAATCAGAAACAGAAAACAGCAGAAATGAATCAGCACACGAAAGAAGCCACAAAGGAATCAAAATCTGTAATAATGATCTATTATAAGAAAGACACCGGAAAAGTTAGTGTAAGCCTAGGGTATTTTGTACTAAAAAATCGTTATGTACTGTTAAACAGTTCACAATTTAGGGCATGATATTCAATATTTCCTTTCTAGTGAGAAAATGTCATCTGTTACAACTTACAACTGTATTTTTTAAAAGGAACTTTCAACTGTGTGTGTTTTTTTTAAGGAACTTACAACTGTGTATTGCTGCAACTGCACCAGGTTGAAATTGTCTTTTTTAATGATGTTGGACTGTTGGTGGGGATTGAGCCAGCCTGGTGGCCCCAGCGAACGCCAGCCAGGGAGGAGCTGTCGGAAAACTACCCTTCACGACCGAACTCAAATACTCTCACGTCAAGGGTTCAACTATAACACAACGAGTAAATGAACATGACTGCAAGACATTTTACATCCACAATTGGCTTTCTGTTTGTTCTTAAAAAAATTCTATATAAATTTGCAGACCTGGAATTTCAGTTCGTCTTTTTGGACTACATGCTTCGACACACATTACAGTGAAACATCGAACTAACATGCACCTGCTGACTTCTAATATGTGCACCTCTGCAGTTAGGAGAAGAGACGAGAACGTTAAATGTTCAGCCCAGTTATTCCTTCGGCGCCCTTCTTGGCTGCACTTTCCAGGCGTTCTTTAGCTCGGAAGACCTTGGATTGCAGGTAGAAGCTGCCATTCTTCGCATTGTTCTCAAACAAGGAATCGTATTTCTGCAGACAAATTATGGTGAACGATTTAATCATTAGTCGAGAGAAGGGTAGCAACTTGATGATCACAAGGACGATGGTTTCGCATATTTCAATGAATGATAAATAGTCATTTGCAAACCTTTAGAATCTCCTCCCACGGTGCATTTTCAGTAACTCCAAGAATCTGCCTAGCCTCAGACTCGGTCATCGTCTTACTGACTTTCTTCATGTTATGTATTGTTTCATGTGCAACACCGTTCCTCGAAGCATCTGGCGATTTGATCAAGCCCAAAGGATAAGATAAAAGCAAAAGTGGGGGTGGCGGGGTGAAAGAACAATAATAAGGCTAATACCATACTTTGAAGCGCTTGACGATATGCCTGAGCAAAGGCCCTTGCTAACACTCCGGAGCTCATCACAATCAAATTCACAATAACTCTGCCAGCCTGAAATATAAAGGTGATAAATGGATCGCTAAAGAGAGAGTAAAGAGTAGTTACTGCATGGGTAGAGAAGTAGTAATACTGTAATAGTAGCTATAATCATGCAAATAAAAGGTCAAGCCATAGGCATAAATTAGGCCTTCAAATTTGAGAGACAACTTGAAATATTCTTTAGGACGTAGTGATAGCTATCCTCTATCTAACTGGAACTCCATACCAGAGCTACTAGAAACTCCATTCGAGAAGTCATTTCATTGTAAAAGCAACTTCGTGACCGAAACGATAACATATCTAGTTGCAAGCACCTACAACATCTATTGTCTTTCTAGGAAATCAGAGCACACGTACCATTGTCTATGAGGAAGAAGCACGATCCCAGTGAGATATGCGGTGTAAGAAGGTAATGTCAAATTTTCAGACCTGCAACAACATCACAATGCATGATGATGTAAGCAATTTATCCCCAATTCAACAACGGAGCAACTTGCCTGCGGATCCAGGTGCATGAAAACAAGCAAAATATCTTCCAACAAAGAAACACATGAAGAAAACGCCAGCTCAAAATGAACCAAACACACCATATATCAATCAAATTGGAATCATGAGGGTGCACTATCGACAATTCACACAACAGTCACCTCAAACAAGTCCGATGGATCGTACGGAAACTAACAGTTAGATCACATAAAACAAGATTTACTGAAATACATTTGAGAATGAAAATGTTTACCTAATATTCATCAAAGAGAAAATTTAACCTAACAGTATTAATTCTAGGGTTAACTCTATTAAATACTAACCAAACACAAATGAATGCAAAGAAGGTCGCTCAATGGTGCTTCAATGTATTGTATTCAATGCAGAAGCAGGGGAGAGGAGCCTCAACTCGCCGCCATCTTACCCACGATCAGTTCTGCTCTGGATGCTTCTGTAGCTAGCTACTCAGTTACAAATTCACAGGGGAGTACATTACACCCTGAGCCAATCTATCAATTGAGAAAGAACCTCAAAATCCCCATGCTCAGGCAACAAATTAAAGACCCAATCACAAGGAACAAACCGACCAACCAAACCCTGAAAACTGGAATCGACGAATTCACATACAACACGAACGGAGAATGATGTGAAACAGGTATAAAAAAGAAGATTGATTCATAGGAGGTAAGAAAAACGGCAAACTCCCAAGGCTTTGAAAATTATCCCATTTACCCGCCCAATAAAAACGTGATGAACAAGCATACCTGCGAGGTGATGAACGTCGCGATTTGCGACGGCGGCGAACTAGGTGGCGACGGCGGCGGCGGCGATCAGACTGGGACTGGACGAGAAGCGGAAGAAGATTGCCGGGAGAAATTCCAATGGAGTTGTATAGCCACCCAGATAGACGTTCGCAGAGAGGGAAGTTTCTAGATCAATGATTTTGATTAGGTTGCGCGCGGCCAAACAAAGCATCCTCCTTTGGGGACCAAAAAGAACGTGGGGGAAAAGTTAGCTCCAGCTGGTGATGCTTATTGGGCTTCGGAATTGTGGATAGGATTATTGAAGAGAAACCGGGCCTAGCTTAGCTTATTGGGCCATGTTGAACTTGGGTGATGCTTCACCAGCAATCTTGCACCGAAAATTTGTAGCGCAACCAAGGCAAAATGTACCTACCTACGTTTATTTTAGAGTGGAAGAAGGATGAAGAAGAGAGGGATCAGATCAGGTCAGTATCCTTGTTATCACTAACTGTCCGTAATCCAATTATGTGTCCCCACGTGTCAGCTTTTTCTTTTTATTTAAATTAAACATGGAGGGGCATTAAGGTAAAATTGCACCCCCTATTTAATGATGTCTCTGACGCGCTGACGCGACGCGGATCCCACTCCCCACTGGTTATCTAGTTCCCCCTTTCTCTCACTCTTTGTTTTATTTTATTATTAAAAGAAAAAATATATTATTTCTTCTCTCTCCCATCTACAACAAAAATGAATCTAACCATCCTAACTATCTCTAAACTAATTCCAGCTCAAATTGAATGATGATTTTTTCGTTAAATAATACATTGTTAAAGACACTAATTACAAGTATAAATATGATTATCACTTTCTACTATCATGGTAAAACATGGTAAAATATGTTGAAGAAAATTACAATTCTAACTACCATACAATACCACATGGTAAAACGTGGTAAAACATGATAAAATATGTTGAAGAAAATTAAAAATCTAACTACCATACAATACCACATGGTATAACGTGGTAAAACATGCTACAGAGATTTACAAATCTAATTACCATACCATACCATATGGTATAACATGCTAAAATAAAATTACAAATCAAACTACCACCACATGGTATAACTTGGTAAACCACGCTACAGAAAATTATAAATCTAACTAGCATACAATACCACCATAGTAGAACATGGTAAATCAAAGGACCACAAATTAATTATAATTACCATTTAATACCACATGGTGTGAGAAGGTAAAACCATGTAAATCTAATTACACCCCTCTACGACCAGAGTAAAAACATGATATTCATAAAAATACATTTCGTTACCATACATTACCATATGATATGGACACATTACCATATGGTATAGTGTGGTAATCTCAATATATATATACAATTACGACTTTCTTCACTTTCTTCTCTCCCTTCATTGTCTTCTAACTCTTCTTTCTCGGAACTAGTGTCGATTACCACCCACTACCACCATGATAAAACTCGTGACTATAAAAATACACTTAGTTAGCACACATTACCATATGGTATAGTGTGGTAATATCAATATATATTCTCAAAGAAGGGGAAACAGAAGGAGGAAGAGGGGAAAAAATGCGTCTTCTGTCTCTTCTCATTTACTCCGCAATGAAGAACACTGAATGCAAAAAGAAAGAAAAGGAGGAAGAAGATCGGAATTAATTCACAAACAAATACTAAAACACAAAAGATGCAAACTCAACTCACCTAGATCTGTCCCCTCTTTGACAATATGGAGCATCATCGATTTTGAGGCCGAGAAAAGAAAAAAACAGAAGGAAGGAGCAGCTTGAGAGAAGAAGGATTTGGAGCGTCACCGAATTTGAAGTGGGAGGCTGCAATTTCTTCATCGATTGTTGGAGAAAAAAATGAAGAACAAGAGAAGAAATGAGATTTAGACCTGGAAAAGGAATTTTGGAAGAGAGAAAGGAAGAGAGAAAGAGAAAAGAGAGAGGAAGAAAGAAGTCTGCTTTTTCTCTTTCCTCCATTAAAAGACAACACATATAAATGCTCGAAAAAAAATGAAAGAAATCAAATTTCAAAAATCGGACAAAAATGTCCCTCCTCACTCCGCGTGCAGCCCAGCAATATAATAATGTCATCTCTAGATCTACGATCCGGATTTAATACTGACAGGTCAGTAACCAATGGTTACTGACTCTATCCTCTGCCGAAGAGAGGATGGCGACCAAGAAGAGAGTGTTCGACACAGTGGAAGTAATCATAAGTTGAAACTGTGGTCTCAACAATGTGTAATAGACCTTAGATGCAACGCAATGGATGACAGACATGCCTAAGCTTACAATGATAATTACTCTCTTAAGTAGTGCAGCAACCAGAAGAACATTCAGCACAATACATATCGGTCAATTAAAAAAGAAACAGCTACACAGAATCTGTTTAAACTCAAAGAAAAAAAGCTACATATCCAGAGAATAGTACATGTCTAAGGCCTGCATTATGGCTTAAATAGTACAATGGTATGTCTCCTGTGCTAGATAAATCAGTACAATCACACAGAGCTAACAAGAAGAGGGATTAAGTCTCTCTATCTCTCTCTCTCTACTACGTTGGGAGAATATCACCGCTGAAAAGCACATTACAATACTCAACCGCCCTGCATTTTTGCTACTACACCTGCCGCTTTGAAACAGAAGTTAACCTTCAGGCTTCAACTCAACTTACAGAAACAGTCCATGAAAGGGCGGTGGAATGAGGGAGAACCCTTGCAAAGGTGCAAACTTTGCGAGGATTTCTGCCTCCCGCTTCACAGCATTGCTCCGCTTCATATCCCACTCTGGGATCTTGGAATTGGAAATTTGAATCTCATGCACAACATTTGGAATCGCACTCGCCACCATCTTCTGTGAGTGGCTCACCTCCAACTTAGCCGCTTTGTTTGATTCCACTGCACTGATCAACTCTGCTCGGCGAGCTTGGAGCCTAGCAATCTCATTGTCGATATCGTGCACCGTCGACATGTTCCCGTCTATCTGTGCCTGAAGTTGGTCTGTTTTGTCCTTCAGTTCACTATACTCACTCTTAAGAGAAGCGACTTTGGCCTTGTTTGCATCTAGGGTTCCGTAATGCCTGTCGATTTGGTCAATGATATCCCTACTTTCAAGAAAAACCTCCCTGAAAGAAGAGATTTCCTCAATCAACTTCAGCTTGACGAGCTGTTCGGCAGTCAGGCGAGGATCGTTGCGCAGTTTTGAAGCCAAGGCTGGGAGCTCAGAGAAGTTCTTGGAGGAAACTAGTGTACGGAAGTCCATAACCAGCAAGGAAGAGAGCCTGTGACGAGCTTCAGCTATCTCATCATCGTCCACAGGAGGATCCCTAGTCATTGTTGTTGACTGAGCAGCAACTATGTTGTCAGAAAATGGCTGGGCGATGATGTCTTCTAGAGATTGGAGGTAGTTATCGAAGTCTTCTGGGATTGGAATGTTAAACTCCTCTTCCTGGGTATTATTTCCAACATCCTCATCGGCAAAAGGGACAGGGACAGTTTGTTTAGCAGTATGCCTAGTTCTTCGCTTGGCTGCAGATGATGAAGGAGCTCCAGTTTTGTCTCCTGTTTTTTTCTGGTTCGTTGCAGATGATTTAGCAGCACTGCGCCGTCGTTTCTGCCTGGGTGGAGGTGGGGATGGTGGTGGTGGAGTGGGCTCTTTAGGCTTCCTTTTCCTCAGTCGAGAGCCTTCTCCTGGCACTTGCACTTCCTCTTTTACGCCATCGCCATGAGCAGGCTGTGGGGAAGAAGTGGAGATTGGTTCCGCTGCATTTCACAGATGAGTGATTCCCAAATCAAATAAACACAAGTCCTTTATGTATATATACTCTATTAAAATTTAAAAATATACTGTCTCTGCATATAGTATATATAACTATAGACTAGTCGAAACGAAAAGACATCATACACACATACCAAATGCTGTTTACTTAAAATGCATCACTAGTTTACTCTTAAGCAAGGGACGCATGTAATAAGTAAACTTTGGAAGGCTATTATTCCTTGTGTGGGAAATTTTCTGAAAAGAAAAAGACGGGAAGAAAATTTGAGGGTGATGCCAGCTAGAACTTTCTTGGAGATACGGTAATGGTTGTTATATATGCCTCCTTAGTTTATAATTATGCAACAACATATGCTAAGTTCTTTACACAGCAAGAGCTTCCCTACTGACATTTAAGTTCTATGTTAAGTTCCTAAGTAGGGTTCCTTTAAATAGTTCAAGGGTAGTTTTTTTCATCAAGACAGATCCCAGGACCTATTACAAATCGCTCTAATTGTCTTATTACCGGTATTAGAGCATTTGAATCCCCTCAAATGACCGTCAATTACCACACTAAAACCCTAGGAAACTGATAATAAACGGGAACACGTGAAGCCGACAAGGATAAGTTTTTCAACTTGTTACAAGCAGCATATAATCAGTAACAACTACCAACCCATAGCTGAGATGACGAACAGAGAGAAGATTCCAAAATCTGAAATTACACTTACCATTCAAAGGAGGCGCCATTTTCCCAGGGACCTTCCATGTGAAGGACGAGAAAAATGCATCAACATTAGCATCTGGAAACACCGTCCGGATGTAGTTGGTAATAGAATTCAAGCTCGCAAATGGAGGTCTCACCCCTGTCACCTTGGGGAAATGCTTTGGAGGATAAAGAAACCTATCCTGGAAAAATCCAGCAGTATTAATCCTCCTTCCTACCTTCCAGGTCCAGTTGTCACCCGGGTTCGGCCAGTTCACAGGAGCATATGGCAGACCTTCGCCACTAGAACCCTGCTGAACAGCCCCAATAAGCTGATCAGTCCCATGAAGCTCTCCCTCATTGAAAAGATCACCGCTGTTCAACTCATTAACGACGTTGCTAATAACGTCATTCACCAGGGATTTCTTGTCTTCTTGAGCTGCACCATTGTCAGCAAACGGATTACCACCATTGGGGATTGCATTCCCTACAAGCTGATCGCTCTGCTGCCCATGGATTGGAGACGGAGGACCGTAGCACCTGGTGGTCACAGAGGATACAAACTTCTCTCAGCAAAACATATCAAACCTAGTCCTAAAGTAAAACCCTCAGCTGGGAATGCTTCAAAACCTCGGCCTTTGAGTCAATTATCTAACTTTACTACAAAATAAAAAAACATCCCTACTCCGCTTGAGCAATGGATTCCGGTTACTGAAAAGCAAGACGCTTTTTGACTAAGCGATAAGACAGATCTAGACCAAGAACACAAAGAAATAGGAGTGTCACTCGTTCTCTTAAAAGAAATTGAAATTAAGATCCGGAAATTGCGGCGACATCAAATTCAGCTCCGGCTCTAGAAACTTGAAGCCAGAGACGAATGAATCCCTTGCTTGTTTTCCCACCAAGGGAAAAGCTCGATAAACGGCATCGAAGGATAAAAAGAAAGCTTACTCGTCGACGGGCTCTTCCTGCAAGTCCCAAGGAGCTATGAAGTGGTCCGACATAGCAACCGAAGTCCGCTCAATTTCTCAAGACTGCACCACGGGGGGCAACAAATCAGAAGAGAGAGAATAATCAGACCGCAATCGGAGAAGATGTAAATCCAGAGCCAGCAGATAGTAAGAAGTAAGGTCTGCCTTCTGGAACAGACGCAGGACGAGTTGACTCACTAGGTTTGCGAGCTGAGTGAAAAAACACGGCCAGTCGGCCAGACTGGGATCGAGCTGATCTCTTCTTTCTTCTCCTTCTATCTACGAGCTGAAGGGTGGAGACGGTAGTTAGTTGGACTGAGGAAATGGGGAAAGTTGAAATCTGATAGGGAAAGGGGCAAAAAAGAGTGAAAATCGAGAGCGAGGAGTGAGGTGTCCGATCTGCAGCAGCTGCATTTTTTCTGCCAAGAATCAACGGCTTAATTTGGATGTGCTTATCCGGTATGCCAGATTAATTTACCTTACTGCCCTTGCGGCATTTCGGTGCTAGTAGGCTGGTTAATCGGTTCGGTTATAACTGAATTTGTTTAGTCGATTCTCAATTATTTTGTCGGGTTAATCGTTTATTTTTTCAATGGTGCATTTTTGAGATTTTTTCGGACATGCATGTGTCCTTTTTCAAGTTTTATCATTGAATCCAAACAATTTAACATTCATATACCATCCAAATTAAACGCCAATCCAACATAGATCCATAATAACACAAATTCTTAAACCAACAATGCACCAACTAAACATTAAATAACTGTCAAACATCAACAATTCATCATCATCCACAAATATTACAGCTACTTTTTCTCCTTATTCCATGGTCAAATAGCTCACGTACACATTTGATAAATCATAAATTGCATTTATTAGAAATTGTTGATTGCATGTGCAATCTCTATAGCATATGTTGAATTGGTCTTTTGCAAATCCTTCGTTAGAAACAAGAAATTGAGGTCCCAACAACTAAGCTACCCTTCCCAAAAAATGAGAAAACCAAACCGCTAAGTATTTTTTTGGGTTAATTGCAAGGTTGGTCACTGGGTTTACTAAAAAGGTTCACGTATGGTCACTGAAAATATTTAAATCCATTCGTGGTCACTAACTTTATTCTTTCGTTTCATCAAAGGTCACTCACCGTCCATTTCCGTTAACTTTTGCTTACGTGGCAGTCAACTCTTATGGTTGACTGTTAAATATGCGACGTGGCAATTAAAAATTAATAAAATATAAATGTAAAAATTTCCATCTCAACAACTGATAAAATCTAAACTTGTTTACAATGCTAATATGCTTGATGTTAGTGACAAAATCTCATAATTGCTTTCATTACCAAGAATCTTCACGTTTTTTAGTCATGATAACCTTCCATCAAACCCTGTTGGAAAGAAACTAAGGGACGTCTAGATGTGATTTCCACTTCCAAGTAGTATAGAAGAGTAGTAGTGATTGGAGAAGTTGAATGAATCAGGAGCGGTCAGTAGTGTTGTTCCTGGGTAGGTAATGCATGTTAGTTCCCTGAGAGGCAGAAACATGGAGTCATTCTTGCAGTTGGAGTATCTAGGCTTTTTTATCTAATGGTTGTTCAATCATGTTTGAGGATATTTGCTGGTCATCTCCAAAACTCAAATCAATTGTATTGTGCTGCTAGGGATGCAATACTTTTCTATGAAGTAGCCTATCAATTTGTAAGCTTGGTAATGACGGTTCATATGACGTTTTTGTAATCTTTGACAGGTGGTAAGGGTAGTGTTTATCCTTGAAGGTTTGTTTGAAATAGAGAGGCTAGGCGATAAAGTGAACACAGTGCAACCTGAATGGAAGGTGTGCATCTCTATACAATATATCAGGATTACATTATTGTTTTGAAGTGAAGTTATAAGTGAATTTGGTATGCAGGATCAGAAGAAGTCTCTTTAGCTCATGGAAATGATATTCAGAATGACATACTTACTGAGAATGTTGATACAGCTGCCCAAAGTCAAAGTACTGGTCATTCCTGTGAAAATACGGGGATGTCGCTCTTGAACGTTAATGTTCCTGGAAACATAGAGGATTGGGGGTTTCATGATTTGAAGGAGGTAACATTTGATTCTGTTGATGAAGCTGAAAACTTTTACAACAATTACAGCAAGTATATGGGGTTTGGTGTCAGAAAAAGGGACAGAAAGGTTAACAAATATGGGAAATGGACATCACGAAAATGGGTTTGTTGTAAAGAAGGAGTCAGAACTGAAGAAAATGCGAATAGAGAAAATAGGAAGAGGGAAGCAAAGGCGGTGACTAGATTCGGATGTCTTGCTTCGTTCAAGGTGAAATTTGATAAAAAAGATGGGAAGTACAAGGTAGAGGAGTTTGTTTCCGAGCATAATCATGATAGAGTTGGACCTGAACAAGTGCAGTTCTTAAGGTCTCATCGGTCACTGAAGGAGGGTGATAAGGCACAAGTAGAGTCACTGCGAGGGGTGGGTGTGAAACCGAGTCAGATAATGGATTTGAGGGTAAATGAAGTAGGTGGCTATGACAACGTCGGTTTTACTCTCAAGGATTTGTACAATTTCGTGGATGGAGGTAAGAATTTTGAAGTGCATAGTGATGCAGAGTCTGCATTAGCATACTTACGTGCTAAGTATGAAATTGATTCAGAACTCCTCTGCAAGTTCACACTCGATGAGGATAGCAGACTAAAACATTTGTGTGGTTGGGAAAAAATTACCGAAATAATGCTGAAGTGTGTTCGTTGTTATTTTCAGCACATGGTAGAGCTCTTTAGAAACGTAGTACTAATGTCATCACCCCATGAGAACGAGGGAGGGACCAAGCAAACGAGAGAGGTTACACTCGAAAAAGGGATGGCGCTTCTTAATATCGCGAATATGCAGCAGAGTATAAACCTTGCTTCTTCGTCCATCATACAAGGTTAATGCCACCGCCTCCATAAATGAGAACATTGTACAATGAATTCGTGGTTTACAAGTTAGCAAAGGCAACTGATTGAACTTCAAGACCTGTTAGGAAGGGGATTTGGTACACCCAGTGTTGATTGTATCAGTAGATGCAGCTGCAGAAGCCGTAGCTAGTTAGAAGTATGCATTGGTGAGCTTTTGATTCTTGTCAGCCACCACCATTAAGGGTGCGACTTTCCTCCATGTATGTTGTAAGTTGTAAGCTAACCGGATGCAGTTGATTGAGTAATGTATAAGATTGGCTAGGACATGAAAAATTAGTAGATTGTTATTGTTAAGTTGCATTTGGTCAAGGCGGTAGAGTGCAGTTGATTGACTATGTATACGGATGGTGCTTCCAAGCATAGACAGATTCTATTGGTAACAAGCCTATTGTACTCAGTTACTCATTGCTGGGCAAAAGTTAATGAACATACTATTAATTTTCCCCATACTCCCCAAGAGTTCATACTAACCTCAAGAACTATAAGTTCCTCCTAAAAGATAAAAAGTTACACAAGGAAAAGACAGACCAATTTTACAACAAAATATAAATATATGCCCATCTCTACTTTCAGACTCTTCCTGGGTTTTGCAGCACAGCAGATTGATAAAATTCAGACATCCCAGATGCTGCATCGACCTTCTCTCCCACAACCCATTTCAACTTTGCATACCCGAATCTCCCGATCAATCTCGTCAACAACCCTTTCTTCTCATAATTAGTACAATAGAAGTTATCCAACCAAAACAACCCCCCTAGTCGCACACAAACAATGTCGAACATATAGAACTCGAGCTTCTCCACCTTGCTACCAACAAACACATTGTACATTAAATGGAAACCTATGAGCCAAACTCAAGTACAGAGGGAACAACCATCTTGAATAGAACAAACTCACTAAATGGAGCATCAACATTCAATGTGTTTGTAATCACAGTGGTAGTTCAAATAAGATCACGAGCACCAGTAGCAGTTCAAATAAGTATACAAGTTTTGCCTGCTTTGGTCAATACGATATCTATTTTGCTCAGCTTCAAGACACAATAACAAAATGAAAGAGTCATCTAGCTGCGCCAATGAGAAAATATGTCCTCCATGCACGGAAACTGTTCTCGATTTCCATGTGAAGTCGGTAGAAGTGAAGTGAGTTGTCCGGAGTTTTGCTGTGCCAGTTGCTGCTGTATCTGACCTGCACTCATTCAGTGCTGACCATATGAAAGAGCTCAAAGTAAGTGACCCATCATCCACATCGCCTACACCTAGGGTAAAGCCTGCCCACGACCACTCCACCTTTCTGTCTAGGCTACATATCCACAACCAATATAACTGAAAGTAGCTATACCTTACCTTACCTTACAAGAGCAGGAATCTAACTGAACTCGCCGAGGCTGAAAAGAAATTCTTGTGGCAGAGGTTAGTCCTGGCCGACAGATGAGCGGACGAGGGAAGTTTTGGTACAAAATAGAGAGCACTGACTATGCAGGGGTTGGGTACGCTGCAATCGGCGCTTAAGATTGACCCTGGGGATGGGATCGACCACGAGGGCCGGAATGATTTGGGAGCGACCGCCGGTGAAGGATGCGTCTCTCCCTTCTCTAACCTTGACCGGTCTGGTCTTTGGCGGAGGCACTTTTCGATGGTGACAGAGGCCCGTGAAGATGCAGACTTCTTCGTCTCTGAACGAGTCACCGGAGTCATTTTGGAGATGGGATCAACCACGAACAAGTCACCGGAGTGATTTTCGCCAACGCCGGTGAAGAAGATCGAGGAACTCTCTTTCGGTTCGTCCCTCGTCGTCCCCAGTTTTTGAGTTTTCTGAATCTTCCAAAACCAAACGAATTGAATTAATGGAGGTGGAATACGCGTGAAGAATTTGGTGGAGGGTGTGAAGTTTGGATGAGCGACGGTGGTGCTCAGCAGAGCAGTTCGCTCTTTTCTGATTATGACGAGCGAGGGAACGAGGAAGACGCCAACGATTCGTTTTCCTTCGCTTTTTTTTCAGAATACAAATAAATGCAACTGAATGTTAATGCATTTAAAATTAATAAATGGAAAAGGAAATAAATGTAACGGCTAAGCGAAGGCAGACGTTACTATTAGACGTTAGTTTCATGTTGGCTGGGTTCGGCCGCTTCTAATGGGCCATTGGTTTGGATTGTGTTTAATGAAACCAGGCCATGCCACATCAGCTCCACATGGACCAATAGGAAACTGCGTCACCGGTGCCGCACTTTTTAGTGCGGCACTGTAGTATTGGCCAAGGTTTCTAGATAAAAAGTGCGGCACTGTAGTATTGGCCAAGGTTTCTAGATGTACAGTGCCAGTTGTTTTCAGCAGTTGTACTTTTAATTGGGTTGAAAGCCCAAAATTTGGAAATGTTCGGGGCAGCCCATTTAGCATTACCAAGTGTCCAATTCGGCTAGCAAAGCAAAAAACCCTAGATCGAGTCAAGGTTTCTATTTAAAAGCTCCAAATCTACACCGCTCGCTGTGCTAGAC